CACCCCTGGCTGGCCCCAGAATGGGGTGGGAATGGAGATTTTGCATATCCTACCCCCAGGAGTGGGGGGGGGGGGGGAAATGGGGATTTTGCAGTATCCTTCCCCTGCCATGCCTACCAAGCCACACCCACAGATTTGGTAGTAAAAAAAGTTGAATTTCACCACTGATGTATCCATGCAGTTTCCACATGGAAGTGGTTCACCACTGTAATCTTATAGAATGCTTTTTCCCCCCCACTTCACTTCTTCAGTTTAGTTTACAGCTCTGGTGGACTCATATCCAAGTTCTAACCAAGCCCAAAAGTTTAGTTTCCCCAAAAAATTAATGTAGTACATAGTATCATGTAATATTATTTAAATATTTTAATAATATTTTAATAATGTCATAAAGTGATTATTAAAGCTGTTTTCTTGTAGGGGGCAAACCTATTTCTGAGAGTCTTCTTAGTGTGAAGATACCATGTATATTTGTACCTCCAGAAAATCGATTTCAATACATTTGGAAAATGTTGATTCCAGACCAAGTAAGTAATACTGTATGTTTGTATCTTGTGAATTTATTATGTCATTTTGCAAATTATTTCCTACATTTGTTATCTAAATTAATTTAACCATTTATTAGATAGATCTAAAATTAATGCTACTTTTACCCGATTCTAGATCAGAGAAAAAGATACAACCTTGAATGGCAAAATTCAAAGTTAACATGAAAAATATATTCAAAAGTTATTTAAAAATGGTTCATTCTTTATTGCTTTCTGATCTAAATAAGACACTATCTCTATTCCGTGTATCATCGTTCATTATATTTCCTTGAGGAAAGAATTCTTTTTATTTGCAACAAATCTCTCTCTAAATCCTTCTCCAAGTTCAACCACATTATTTTCCTCCATGCCAAATCCAGATGAATTCTGTCTTTTAAAATATTTTATTTAGGATCAAGCTGTTCAAACCCGAGGCAGAAGTAGAATATGAGAACAAACTTAATTGTAGACTATATAGTAGTCAATACTGTTAGCTAGATTTTTATAGAAATTTGTCCCCTCATCTCCACTTTTCCTTATTTAATTAAATAATAATAATTTTGATGTTAATATTTTCCTTAAACATATTTCTCTGGAATATACAGTGTAAAAGAAAATCAGTAAGAGGTATAAAATTATAATTCATTCTATACTTTATCATGATTAACACTCTCTTTGACTTCCAGAAGATATTAAAACCTGGGTTTCTCTTTAAATGTTAGGTCTAGAATATGAGAAGAATATATACTGTATTTTTCAAAGTAGAAGATGCACCTTTTCCCGTCAAAAAAGAGGCTAAAAACATGGATGTGTCTTATACACTGAATAGAACATTTTTGGCCTCCCAAAACACCGACCTCTTCATCAAAATGGCCGTGCATAGCTTTTAGGAGGCCTACAGGGTGCTCCTAGGGGCTGGGGAGGGCAGAAATGAGCAAAAAACTGGCCATTTTTTGCTCAATTTTGCCCCCCCCCCCACAGCCCCTAGGAGCACCCTGTAGGCCTCCTAAAAGCTATGCACGGCCATTTTGATGAAGAGGTCGGTGTTTTGGGAGGCCAAAAA